TGGGCCACGATGTCGACAAAAGATGCTCGGCAGTCCACTGAGGGGTATGCCCACGATGGTAGATTATTTAGTAGAGGTGCGCGTGATCAGGAACTAGATGGTAATAGAGACACAAGACACAAGATTTATACAGGTTTAGGCCGTCAATGTGACGTAAAACCCTACGTCATGTGCTCTGTTGGTTTGTATTGCTAGAATACGAGATGAGATGTGGGATTCTAGGGATGCCGACTAGGGGACCCCTGCCCCTCCTTATATACTCTGGAGGGGTAGGGTTACAAGAAAAGTATCCTAGTCGGTTACATGGTAAGTATTACAATATCTGTAGTATCCGATCAAATCTTTTAGGTGCCTTGCGGTGTACGCCGAGCAATGTCGTGCGCCGCAAGTCTTGATGTCATGGGCTGGACCATCCCTGATGGTGCGGCCCATGTCCCTTGCCGTGGGTACCCACAGCTAGTCCCAGAGCGCCTTGTATCTGCTTGGTGACGCCGTTTTGACCAAGTCCGAGAAGTCCAGTGAAGAGCCAACCAGTTTAACTGACGACCTAGATGGTGAAAGTCGTAGCCAACTAGTTTAACTGGTGACCCGGGCGGTGAAAGTCAAAGCCAACCAGTTTAACTGGTGACCTGGGCGGTGATAGTCAAAGCCGACCAGTTTAACTAGTGACCTAGGCGGTGAAAGTCGTATCCGACCAGTTTAACTGGTAAGTAGAGCTCGGACCAAGCCAAGAGAGGCTCATCAATAGGATGTAAGGAGCTCAAGATAAAAATTTGAGAATTCTTGGTCGATGAAGTGCACACACTTAAGTGCCAAGTGCGATGGCGCCGACGACGTAGTCATCAGAGCAGAGCAAAGGCATTAAGCGATAAATTTGGCATAGTCAAAACATCATGAAGAAGAACCAGTACATGCACCACAAGGTGCAGTGTACACACTGTAGTCCCTGAGCCTGAGATTAGGTGTAGGTTACACCTAGTGTCAAGGTCTTGAAGAAAAAGAAGCAGTCCCCAGCATAGCTGAGAAAGCATAGCGGTACATTCACGCAAGGTGAAGTGTACACACTTAGTCCCTGAAACTGCTAGAAGATAAAGAATGAATCTTGTAGCAGGGTCAAAGAAATCAGGAGCTTGATATTCTGGTGTTGATACGTGAAGTTGCCAACATCATCTACCATGTATCTACCAAGACCCCCAACGTGTTGCCCAAGATCAGCACCCTGATCCGAACATCATGGAGCAATTTGATAGCACACATGGCATGCAACGCCGTCGAAACATAGTAAAATCTGACCACCAAGAGAGTCCCCAGCTTGTCTGGTGACTTTTGCACGAAGAATCCGAACGTCGAAGAGTCCCCAGCTTAGCTGGCGAGCCCACATCGTAGTTGACGATGAAGCCCAAGCGATGAACAATCCAACCAGCTGGTTGGCGAAGAAGCAAGCACTGAGCAGTTCAACCAACTGGTCAGCGGCGAAGTGAGTGCCGAGTAGAAGTGAGCGCTGAACAGTTCGACCAACTGGTTGGCGACGAAGGTCATGAACCTAGCGGTCCAACCAGTTGATCGGCAGAGAAGTCCGAAGGCCAGGTGGTGCGACCACCCAAACGATGATCCTGCAATACAAATATGTAGAACGGATGGTACATGATGTAAAAATAAAATATATGAACTCGGCGACGAAGAAAACAGAGCGGAGTTGATCAGGAGCAATGTATCGGTGAATTTTATATTCTGCCGAGCAGTTTATGTTTATTTAGAGTTTGTTCATATTTTAAATATGAGTAACTTTCTTCCAGTTAGTTCTATATCACGTCACCAGCCCTGACTAGCCCAAACTCTATAGCGCGGAGTGGCCGGCACCCGTGTACGCGTAAGAGAGAGAGCGTCGCCAAGGAGCCACTGCTGACTATCCATAACGCAGAGCGTGGCTCGTGCACGTGTAGGAGCAAAGTCGAGGTCAGGACCATTTCTGGATGCCGTGAGTAAGAATGTGGTTGGTCGGCGAGTCGAGTGGAGAATATCTTTAAGATATTACACATGGAGAATTAGCGGACAACGAATGGAGCGTTATGGAGATGTTGAGTATGGAGAATAAATGGAGAAGTAATAATTGGAGAAAACATGGTGAAATCGTGGAGAAAATTGTATTAAATGCAGATATAAGAAGGATACTCATCTTTAGTCAGAACGTCTGGTCGGCGGCGTATGACGTTATTTGGTCGGCATCGACGAAATTACGCAGCCCTCGAGCTTTCCGGTATGTCGTCATGGTGGCGGTCGCGGTCATCGTTGCGCCGTTGTTCACGGTGATCATCATTGCGATGCGACAGACGATCGGAGCGAGTAGTCCGAGCGACATTGTCTTTATATTACTAGTTGACCTTAGGCAGATCAGATTCAGGGAGATCTTGAAGCAGCCGCATTCGATCTGGTCGACGGCCCAATGGAGTAGTTGGCGTGTCGTAAAGATGTAGTCGGACTGCATTAGCCGTGCAAGGGCCGGAGCCCTACGGACGTGCGGAGTCGCGATGGAGCCTGATGGAGTTTACTTGTAGACTTCTGACACGGAGTCGAACTAGTAGTTCGAGTAGTCGGAGGTACATCATAGATGCATCCATCTAGGCAAGCAGCAGGGACGTGATGTATGCCTTTGTAGATGCAAGTTTGGTCCATAACTAGCTTGCATGCCTGGTGATCCGTGGAAGCCTATCACTTTGTTCGTTTGGGTTTGTTTGGCTTATAAGCCGTACTTTTTCAGCCAACGAACAATATTTTTCTCTCACACCAAATCAGTCAATAGTACTTTCAGCCATGGCTTATCAGCCAAAACAAGCCCAAACGAACAGGGCGTATGTCTTCATGATTTCCATAATTAGCTTGCTTGCGTCATCATGGATGGCGTTGAGAATTATTCATCCTGAGCATCTTGACGGATATGCATCTGAATTGCCTTATCCTCGCGATCGTTGGTTGTGGCAAGTCGTCACATACTACGGGGCTGTTTGGTTGCCCGCCGCAGTGCGCCACGCCACACCTGCGGCAGCCATGGAGAGTGAGGCTGGTGTTTGGTCCGTGCCAATGTGCGTCATGCCACAGACTGCGGTTGCCATCACTTCTTCGGCTGGTGTTTGGTTCCGGATAAAGTTGTGGCTGCCACTGCTCCTCCCAGCACAAAAACACGCCACACCTGTGGCGCCGAAATTCATTGCCTCAGCTTCGACGTTATTGTTGTGGTGGGCGTGGTGAGCCACGAGCAGATAGGAAAGGCTTTGGCGGCGCCACACCTAGCGAGGCAGGCTACGTCGGCAAACCAAACAGCCCCGTAGTTTGTTGCAAGCCCACGACAAAGAGGACTCTAGCACGTGTAACCGGTCACCGAGGAAGTCAATCCGCCGTGTGACACATACGGCGATAGGATTCGTGTTGATGCTTGGCCGACTCGGATGATGTCGAGGACATCGTGTTGCACCACGGGTCGGAGCGATGCTGCGTGCGTGTAGCGGTCAGTTGCGTCGACGTCGAGTCTTGTCACAGATTGTTGAAGGGCGCCGCCACGATCAACCGCTCGACTCCGCGTACGTGAGCGTGTGGGTTGCATCGAGACCACGAGTCCATGGTAAGCTGATGAAGGACGCCATGGCGAAAAACCGAGTTGCCACGGATAGCATTGATCTTGAGATCCATCTGGTTCGTCACGGGATCAAGCGCACACCCCTACCTGGCGCGCTAACTGTCAACAAAAGATGCTCGGCAGTCCACCGAGGGGTATGCCCACACGATGGTAGATTGTTCGGTAGAGGTGCACGTGATCAGGAACTAGATGGTAACGGAGACACAAGGCACAAGATTTATACAGGTTCAGACCGTCAATATGACGTAAAACCCTATGTCCTGTGTTTTATTGGTTTGTATTGCTGGAATACGAGATGAGGTGTGGAATTCTGGGGATGCCGACTAGGGGACCCCTGCCCCTCCTTATATACTCTGGATGGGTAGGGTTATAAGGAAAGTATCATAGTCGGTTACATGCTAAGTATTACAATTTCTGCAATATCCGGTTAGATCTTCTAGGTGCCTTACGGTGTACGCCGAGCAGTGTCCGTGCGCCGTAAGTCTTGATGTCGTGGGCTGGACCGTCCCTGATGGTGCGGCCCATATCCCTTGCCTTGGGTAGCTGAGGTTATACCTCCACAGTGGCGCGGGCCACGGTGCGGGCGAGCGAGACACGGTGTGGGCATGGGACAAGGAAAACAACAAAGCATTGACATGCAAAATTACTGTCAAGCAATTGATTAGCTATGCTATTGATGTTGCTAAATGCCGTCACATTCTAATTTCTAAGTGACCGGTGTTACTGCCTGCAAAAACATCTGTAAAATTGGAACCAGGTTAATACTACTACTACAACTACAAAAGAGGAACTCCAGAAGCAGGAAATGGATCTGCCGAGGACCCCGTGTACAGCAAACACATATACCTACATCAGTTGCCATTTGGTCCTTGGTTGAGAACAAGTCCTCCAGCATTTTGTCCAAAGAATCCTTAGCTAATAGAGACTTCTTCACTTCTTTATGTCCTGATGATTCTACAGAATCCTTATCAGGTGCGGCGCCGTTTTGACACTGCAGCGATAACAGCAGTTTAGCCTGATCAGATATCTCATCCTAGAGCAGTACATATCTTCATTGCCGTTCACTAGTTCAGGTAAACAATTGAAATGATAAACAACATCTAGCTTCAAGTTCTGCAAGATTGACATCCATGGAAGAGTACCACACCTCTGCATTAGCAGCTCCTGGATGCTCTGATGTGTCTCCATTTTGGTTCAACTGACATTCTGCAGCGCTGGAATGCCGCGCGGGTTCCTACAGAGCAGCTCGGTCGGACGCGTGACAACGATCAGAAAACGATGGAGACAATAATGACGAGAACATGTTGTCTGAGCTGAGCATCAAATCGCCGTGTCAGCACCTCACCTGATCCTTGGCAGCATCCTGCTGTCACTCCGGCTGGAACTTCTGCAGCAGCAAGGTGAGCAGCTTCTGCAGCTCGGGGGGCACCTCCTCGGGGAAGAGCTTGGGGATGTCGTCCTTGGCGACGTTCTCGTTGACGCACCGCCTGATCAGTATCCTCAGGCACACCAGCAGCTGCAGCAGGGAGATGCCGAAGAAGCAGAGTTGGGGACTGAACAGTCTGAACCTGCACTGCAACGCCCGCGACGCGAGCGATGGAGCAGAAAGGAAGCAGGGAAGACAAACGGTGGGGAGGGGCAGGGGGTGCTGACGGGGTCGAGCTCGGCGTCGGAGGCGAGCTGGAGGGCGTCGCGGGCGACGGTGCGGTCGGCGGCGTCGAGGCCCGTGCGGCGCGTGCGCCAGAGCGCCTGAAGGATGTACTCGACCGACTCCTTGGACCCCGCGCACGCCAGCAGTGGGAGGTGCGCGTGCCCCCACAGCGCCGCCGTCGCGCCGGGCTCCCGCTCCATCTCTGGGGTTCTGTTCTGCCACACCGCCGTCGACGGGGACGCGCTGGAAGGCGGAGAGGGGGTCGGTTCGGTTCTGGTGGGCAGGACGAAACAGGAGCATTTTACCCGTATGTCGCTAAGAAAATTTGTAATTACACACGAGTCATAAAAAAAATGACCGTACACATGTATCACTGTTCTAAACTTCTTTATCTTACAAGTCATTTCATCCAAATACAGCGTTAACTGTGGCTAACGGACGGGGGAAAAGACAAGCATGCCCTCTTAGGAAGAAAGATGCTATCTGATGGTGCTTTGGCGCTAATCTGATGAGCCTTTGGCGTCAAAAACTCTCCTTGGATGGCTCATATAAATAGACAACACTGAGGTCCCTCCCCCACTCAGTTCTCTCTCCAATTAGTTCCCTCTCTTCTTCATGGTCTGTGCTGCCATGTCTGAAACTTCAAGCGCCTTTATGAGTAGATGGGGGTAAGGCGGGTCCTTTGCCCCAACTACGGTGTGCTTGTCAATCGGTTCACATCGATGACCACCGGCAACATACGATGTGTCTTCTATAAGTGTTTCTACTTTTCAGTCTGTGTTTATTTGGCTCTAGAATGTTGGTTTATGCTTTTGGTTCATAATCTAGTGTTGCTTTGGTTTTCAGGCTAGAGGTTGTCAGTACTATCAGTGGGAGGATGAAATGGGGGAGACTAGTGTATAGACAGTGGCTCCTACAGCAACTTTGTCTCCTATTCTTCTTCAGGCAGTGCCAGCAGCAGCTGCCATCCCTACTCCCACTTCAATGGCTCTCATCCAGGAAGGTGGTCATGCTGGTGGAGTAGTAGTGCAAGATAGGGTTATGCAGCAGCACAGATGGATTGAGAAGCTGATCTTTATTGTCATCTTCCTTACCTTGTATGCAATTATGAAGAAGTAGGGTCCTATGTATGTGTGTGTGTCACTGTGTTTGTATGTTGAATCAATGAATGCATGAGTCAATGATGGATGGATGATTGCAGTCCAGAAATATAAAATTCTCAGATTATTCATTCACCAACATGCAAATCTTAATACATTACAAACATAAGTAGTGTTCATGGTTCAGATTGTTCACCAACATGCAAACCATAAACCATAATTTCATCTAACACCAGTAGTTTGTCCAGAGCAAGTACCATAAACTATGTCCTGACCATGCAAAATATTACAGCTCCATTACATCAGCATTTCATAGCACAAAAGCCAAGGTGTTCTCCGGGAGTACATCACCAATGCATCATCAAAACAACATGGAGGAGTCGCCTTTGTTCATTCCTTAAAGAGCGCTTGCTTTTGCTTCTTCATTTGCAAAACAATTGGAAGGGTCATTGGAGCCTTCTTGAAACATGCTTGTTCCCTAAAATGGAGAAGAGTGGCGTATACATCTTTCCTTAGTGTAAGCTTCTTCTTCAATCCAATCTTCTTCCTTAGTGTATGAACTGTAGCAGTTGAAGCTTCCTATGGCTCATGCTAAACTGCAACATCTTCATTATAAGGGGCAAGGTGCACAATTTGAATAGGAATTGGTTCATTGGATCCAGTTCTAGATCTTGTGGTACATGAAACATGAAGTTTAGTTTGGGCCGTTGGCATTGCAAAAAATTAGAAAGAAATGGAGAAGTGGCATACCTGCTAGAGAAAGGAGTAGTAGTAGACACTGAAGTACTTGTTGCTGCTCCCTTAGATTTGGAGGTGGTGGATGTTGAGCACCAAGGTCTATATACAACCCTTCCTCATCAACACCCGCATGCTCATTGGATGGGTTTGGGTTAGCCAGGTATTCATCATCTGCAATTTCACTCTAGGTATGGCTTGGTTGTGCAATGCTAGGACAAGGCAGTGAAGGGGTTCTTAATAGACTATCAAGAATTACTAAAATCCCAAGGAGGAATTTCAGGAGGCTCAGTACTAGGGCTATGGTAAGCAAAAGTCAGAAAGCAGCACTTGGAAGCATTATGTTTTGTAAACATGTCAAGCAAATCTTGGTCGGTGCAAACTTGGATGTTCATCTGTCTCTCAATGCAGAAGTAAAACAATCTCACAACATCCCCATAATCAGAAGGATACTTATTCTCAACTTCAGCAAGTAGATCTATGAAGTTGGTACGATCAGCATCGACGACTTTGTTGAAGCTAAACCACCGAGCATGAGTATGGCGAGCAATTATCCGGATTTCTAGGTTGTTGCTACTATCAGGGTCGATTCTATAGATGAACAACAGCGAGTTCACATACATCTATCTATCTAAAATCACACTATATCAAACACGACTACTACACCTAACTGACCACAATCACAAGGACCAAGCAATCGAAGCGGGAAAAAACCCTAAATTTGGTAATCACCCGTCAGGAAGCCAGGGAGGTCGGTCGCCCGCGCCCGCCCCCTTGTTCGTGGCCATGCGCCGCCAATCTAGAGGATTCACAGTCTCTTCCTTCAGGCCTCCTCTTCCTTGCTCCACTACCCCATTCCACGCCGTAAGCACGGGGGATTGGGGGGTTCTTCTCTTCGCGCCGCAGCCGCAAGCAGGGCTGGATTGTCGTCTTCTCTCCCCGTCGATGCCGCTAGGGTATAGGGGAAGAGGACTCGAGCGAGATGAGGAGAGTGAGGGACTAGTGGCGGTCAATCGTAGTCAATACGGTCTGCACCGCCCAAGGGCAACATGGACAATTTCACTACCGGTCCCACCTATAAGGCCTACCAAACGACGAAAAACAAATAGAACAAGGACGGAATGGCTTGTAAGGCAAAGAAGTTTAGAGTAGTGGCACCTGTGTGCGGTCACCTTTTTTAATGGCTTCTGTGTAATTATAAACTTTCTTAATGGCATACAAGTAAAAGGCTCAAGAAACATCCCAGAAGATAAGCAAGTTGGCCCAATTACAGGAGATGGTGGCTGCTTACTTGTTGAGGCCTACGTAAGTTAATGGGCTTTACGAAGGCTAGACCAACAAAATCATTCAGTGCCCGCTTAGAGAAGGTTGGCTGCCTGAACTAAATAAACCTAGTCGAAATCGTTTGAATTACTCCATGCCTCAGGAAAAAAAACCCTGATGTTTTAGTTTTATCGTAAGCCAAGCTATCTAAAGTTTTAGTTTTGTTCAAAGTCAAACTATGTCTTAACCTAAGACTTCATAATTGATCTACTGAACACTCTTTGTTTCAAAATACTCAGCACTTTACAACATGGAGCGGCACAGACCCCCACGGTGAATCCAATGGCGAATCTAGGATTTTAGGTTAGGGTATGCCACCTAAAAAATTTCATATACAATTCGGTAAATCCATTTTAGCACTTCGGTAATAACTGTAAAATTGAAAAGTGATTCGGTATATATGCACTAAGTAACACGATAAGACTTAAATTCATGGATTAAGTATAATATAAATAGTTCAAAAGCCATCAACTTCAAAAAAAATATCCTGCTCAATGAAAATGAGCAATCGTCCAAAAGATTATCTCCTATCTTATTTCGTAACATTGTTTTCACTAATGATAGACTTTGATGTTAGGACAAACCCTCAACCTCACGGTGTGATAGATGATTTTATGATGTTAGGGCTTAGCAAATAGAAATTAAGGTAGACATGAATTTTCTACGGTCTGAGGCTCTAGGAGCGTTGTGGTCGTAGGAACTAGGGACGACGACGACTGGATGCTCGTGCTCCGTATTGGCGATTTCCGATCTAGTATGCGTATGCTGTCGAGCGGTGAAGATATGAAGGAACCGTCGAACGAACCTTAATATTGCAGTATGGTCGTAGGAACTAGGGACAACGATGCCTCGATCGAGTGATACTCGTACTTACAGCGTACAGTCGATAGAAGTCGAGGCGCTGTACCGTCTGTCATGATCCCATCGCTGGCCACATGGGCCTTTCTCTGACGCTTGTTCGCGAGCTGTCTCTCCACGTTCGGCCCTCAGGTATTAATATCGCAGGTAAGTATTGTTTTCTATTTCGCAAATTCTAATGCGCTACCAGTCATGGCTTGGTGCCTAGCGCGTGAGTGGCCGGGTGGCTTGGCCAGGCCTACATATCCACATGCATTAGCGAGAGCCCACATCTCTACTCCTACTCACGAAACTAGAATCCTCCATAGCCTCATCGTTTTGCCTCCGATGCCTCCCCAACCCACGCACCCGCCTGACTCCTCTACCGGCCTCAGGAAAAAAGACTTCCTTCGACTCATTTCTCTGCCGAGCGCCCCAGCGATAGCCGTCGCCGTTGAGCGCCCCAGAGGCCACCGCTGAGCGACCCCGACTAAGCCGTAGCCGCCGAGGGCACCAAACAAGGCCCTCCTACTCGCCACGCCGTGATCGACGCTAGTGAAGCCCAGCGCCGCCCCAGCCATCGCGCGGTGCTAGTGAAGCCCGCACCGTGGACCTCGTGCCTCGGCTGGAACCCTACGCGTTGCCCGTCCCCCTCGGCGGGAGCTCCAGGGGCGTCCAGCGAGAAGTGGACGTAGCACGTCGAGCAACAGTAGCTTCTTCAAGTCCTCCTACACACTCGTTCGCTGCTGCCATTATTAAGATCAATTAAGAAAAATACTCTTCATTAAGAGTGAGATAAAGATCAATTAAGAAAGATACTCTTCATTAAGAGCGAGATAAAGATTAATTAAGATGAATGTGACCATTGGAGGAGTACAACGGTCAAAATAATGATACCCCTAAGCAGAGAAAAAGCTAAATTCATGGACCTTTTAAAGTTCCAACAGGAAGATAGCGTAGTCAGCCTCAAAGATGTTAAAGCGGTGCTTAAAGCGCCATATGAGGTTTTAACAGATTAAACCCAAACAAGAAATTTGAAGATAGACTATCTTTAGAAAAGATGGGAAGAGCTGGAGGAGCATGGTATGTAGAGGTATGTAGAGACATAAGACTTGAAGAGAAGAGGGACTGCGTGCCCACTCTAGTGACTCAGGAGCAACAAGTTTCTCAATACCTGTTGATGTTGTATGACTAATACAACACCT